CTATAGAGATCACTCACTGGAGCTGAGGAATGTGGTTTCTCCTCAAATACAAAAACACATAAACATCATGAGGAGTTCACAGGAAACCCCAGGTCATTTGGGAAAATGTCTAATCACAGAAGAAAATGAATACATCTGGTGAAAATACATAGGTTCAATGATGTCAGCCTCAGAGTGGAACATTTTGCATCACTTTCTGACACACACACAGACACACACACACACACACACACACACACACACACACACACACACACACACACACACACACACACACACACACACACACACACACACACACACACACACACACACACACACACACACACACACACACACACACACAGAGAGAGAGAGAGAGAGACATTTATGACTCATTTCCCATGTAGCAGCAGTGAGGTTTTGCTGGGCTGGTGTTAGTTAGGATGAGATAAGCTCTGCTGGAGTTTAACACACGGCAGGAGTGATGTAGTCTCAATGACATCATGTGTCTGGCATCTCCAAAAAATCACAGACACTGGATCTGATTCTATGGAGCCCCCCTGGTCCCACTTTGTCAAAAAAAATAATTATAACTATCTCGTGGCCTCAAGATAGTAACTCGTGGCCTCAAGATACTAATTCATGGCCTCAAGATAGTATCTCGTGGCCTCAAGATAGTAACTCGTGGCCTCATGATAGTATCTCGTGGCCTCAAGATAGTAACTCGTGGCCTCAAGATAGTAACTCGTGGCCTCAAGATAGTAACTCGTGGCCTCAAGATAGTAACTCGTGGCCTCAAGATAGTAACTCGTGGCCTCAAGATAGTAACTCGTGGCCTCAAGATAGTATCTCGTGGCCTCAAGATAGTAACTCGTGGCCTCAAGATACTAATTCATGGCCTCAAGATAGTAACTCGTGGCCTCAAGATAGTAACTAGTGGCTTCAAGATAGTAACTCGTGGCCTTAAGATAGTAACTCGTGGCCTCATGATAGTATCTCGTGGCCTCAAGATAGTAACTCGTGGCCTCAAGATAGTAACTCGTGGCCTCAAGATAGTAACTCGTGGCCTCATGATAGTATCTCGTGGCCTCAAGATAGTAACTCGTGGCCTCATGATAGTATCTCGTGGCCTCAAGATAGTAACTCGTGGCCTCATGATAGTATCTCGTGGCCTCAAGATAGTAACTCGTGGCCTCAAGATAGTATCTCGTGGCCTCAAGATAGTAACTCGTGGCCTCAAGATAGTAACTCGTGGCCTCAAGATACTATCTCATGGCCTCATTGAGTTTGTGCGCGAGTTTGTGTGAGTTTATGCGAGTTCACACTGAGAATCATATGCATCATGTACTGTGTGAGCATGTATGGGGGTAGAATTGTTGCAATATTCCAAATAAATAGATTATGATCCACTAATAAATGTAAAGAGATTCACAAAAATATATCAAATTCACAAATAAATAGATTAAGATCCACAAATAAATGTAAAGAGTTTCACAAATAATTATAAAACTCACAAATAAGTAGAATGAGATTTGCAAATAAAAAAATATATTTACAAATGTTTTTTTTTTTTTTACCACAAACACAACTCTGCCTGTTATTTATTTGTGAACCGTTTTTTGTGCATTTGTAAACCTAAACCCCCTCACGCATTTGGGAATCGGTTCCTGTGCATTTGTAAATCCCCGCCCTCACGCATTTGTGGATTTTGAAACACTTCTAGGCGTCGACGTGCAGATAAATCCACAAATAAGTGACTCCACCCACCGTTTCCTCCAGCCAATCAGATAACGGCCACATTGAGCTGACCAATCGTAGCACGTTCTCGCTACAACCAATCACGTTTTGGCTTACAACCAGGGCGGGAACAGACACCGAACTTGAGACCAACGTCAGTGGCCCTGTCCCAAATGGCACACTTCGGGTGCTTCTCAATATCCCTCCTCGTCTCCTCGCTCCTCCGTCCTCCATCCTATGACCCGGAAACCAATCGAGCTCAGCCATCTTGAAGGACATCTCAATTGGTTTATTTTTTTTATAGTTTTTATTTTTTAAATAATATATTTTAATGTGACATTTGTAATGATTTAATAATTAGCTTTTCATAAACTCACGAACCCATTTGGGAAACACTACATGCATACTGAAGTCCCTATTATCTATCAATTAGCCATTTGTCTCGTTATTTTGAATATTGATAAAATCAGTACCATATATTCCAGCTGCCACCACTGCAATAGTAATGAATGAGTATCTTATAATAAATACGAGTATTTAATAGCTACCAGTGAAACTCAGATAAGTACTGTAGGCCATTTATTTTTATTGCTATTAAATATTCCAAATCTTTTCCAGTTTCACTAATCCTTATTGAACAGACAGTAGCATCTCTCAGGTAGTCATTACAGATATTCATTAAGTTGCAGAACTGGGATAAATGTCAATTACACTTTAAATAGACTACGTACTAATTGGCAATTAATAGATCATTTTTCCAAGTTGATATTTTATAAATAAATAAAAAGCTTATATTAAACCTTGCTCTTGCTAGATTATATATCATATATATAAACTAATCATTAAACTGGTGAGATGAACGCGTTTCACAATCAATTGTCAACTCTTTGGAACTCACAGCAGGATTAGAAAAAGATAATGAACAGACAAATCTGTAAAAACATACATTTTATTGAGGACATCTGATACTTTACAGAGATGTGTTATTATTAACATTACATAAGATTTGCTCTTCTGAAATCCAGACATGTAGTATCAACATACAAAATTGCGGCAATATAAGAGGCATTTACGATACATGATATTTATATGCATATCTTTATATTTGAAGAGGATTTGAGATGGAGATTTCAAATAAACTCATGGTAAGACAGCAGAGCTCCTCCTTACAAGCATAAGCTTTTAGCAAAAATAATGAACCTTTAACCCATAATCAAACAATGATGGAATAAACCATGAAATCTAACCTGAAAAAACCCTACAATTTCATACACACAATTCAGCATTTGTTCAAAAAGAAAAATAACGGACAAACAAACTCAAAGTCCATTGATACACAAGGCTCTTACAAAACAGAACAGTACAAAACAATAAAACACAACCTCAATGTTGAGAAAAGGAAAACTTCAAACTTGGTCCTATAGCTTTTGCATAAAAAAAAAAAAAAAACATGTTCCCCTGTGTAATCCAGCTATATAATCCATACCAGCCAAGCTCAGTATGAGATGCCATACTTTTGCACTAAAGGTCCATTCACCACATTCCACAAAATCCTGCCAAAGCATCTGTGCTTTACAACATATACCACAATCAATGAACCTTGTAAGAAGTACAAGCTCACAAAACATGGCAAGCAGTATAAAGGTTAACGCAGTATTTTTACACTGTTATTTCGATTAGTGAAAAGATAAAGCTTTGCTTTACATTGCAAACATGCATGCGATCACAAACGTGCATGTGTGTGTATATGTTTCGGGGCTCTGGCTGCACCGGGACAACTAAATGCTCCCAGAATTGGTTGCCATTTAAGATGAAACCTTTTCTCATCCCTCTCGCTCTCATTTAACTAGTTCCCTAATTTCCTCCTCAGCACAGACCATGTGCTTCAAAAAAATTATTCTAGATGCAGAGTTTACATAAACTAAATGCATAATCCACCCCAAACTGAGCATTTTGTCATTTACTCGCGCTCATGTTGTTCCAAACCCATATCCGGTTGTTGCTTTTTCCCCCCGTGGAACACAAAAAAGAGAACTTTTGAAGGATCTTCATGCAGCTCTTTTCCATACAAAGTTTGTAGTGACTATAGTGAGCTACATTCCAAGCTATACGGTGAAGCAATGATTTTTGATGTCATCGACATGCAACCTTGATATGACATCTACATTGAAGGGGAATATGACAATAGGTTTGTATCAGACACAAAACTATCATATGTATCCATTACTTAACTACATTTATGGTGGTTTTTATTACCATGAACTGCATAAAAAAATGATCAACAGCATACGGGTTTGAAACAAATCGGTGCAAGAAAACAATGACAGATTTTGCTTTTTAGAGTGAACTATTGCTTTAATAAACTCGAAAACGAAATCCAAACTCAGATTTCCCGTCTGACCTCAGCTAGAGTCCTGAAAATGAGAGTATTTAGGTGTTAGTCTTTGGCATGGTATTAGAGAAGCCATTTCAGATTTATCTACAGGAAAGATATTCTCATCTAAATCTATAATCGACAACTACAGAACATAAATGCTTACTTGTGCAGAAATAAAAGAAGAAAATATCCCTTAGTGCATTGCTTGGTGAAAAGAATCCTCTTACAAATCTAGTTAAGTCATATGTGAAACGGGTCAAACCTTTGACCTTCATTTTACACACCCAAAGTTGTCATTAGTGCTGATCTAGAACAAGTTTTTCCATCTCCAATGACAGTGGATGAAAATGGGGCGCTGATCTTAAATTAGCACTGCAATTCTTCAGACACGGTATCAGCTGGTGTGTCTTGGGAATGGAGGTGAATTTTACCATCCGAAATGTCTCGATCGGCAGCAAAACCGATGGGAGAACGTATCAGAACGTGTGAGGGTGCAGTGTGGAAGCAGAGTGTTTTTAAGACGACCAAGCTGCCCAATGACATCCACGCTATACCCCTCACGGTGAAGCTAACAGCAAGAGTATAGAGGACTTATTAAGGAGTGTCCCTTACGATCAGCGCGACTCATTGGCTAACGCGGCCCTGTTCAAACCTGTGCTCCAAACCCAGACTCGACAAATCTAGATTCAGCTCACATTTAGCGGGGAACACAGCAGATCCAGTCCAGTTGAGTCTAGATTTGTTCAGAGTGATTGTGGGCGACAGGTTCTGATCCAGCCGATCCGTGAAGAGATCACTATAGAACTTGTGTGCATGTAACCGTCGTAACCCATAAAATAACTTTTATAAAGAAAAGAGCAGAAAAGGTTTTACATGAGCAAAAAATAAACGGACCAACAACAAAAAAAGCTATAAAAACAAACAACAATTAACAATAATAATACATAAAAATATCATTGAGTATTAACATAAGGGAGGGAAAGTATCCAGTTGTGTCCCTTCTTCAGGTGAAGCGGCTCCCTCAGAGGGTTTGGCACAAGAGTCTGATCAGAGAGAGAGAGAGAGGGGAGAATATGCTCTACACATCCCTCTCGACTCGTCTCTGCCGCACTGAAAGAGAAAACGGAGACGTGTTGGTAATCGGACACATTCACAGTCCTCTGTCAACATGCCGTGAGAACATGCTGTGAGATACGTGAAACTTTAATGAGATCTGCTCATTTAAGAGGCTTAATAAATCAAAAGGTGTGTTAGTCAATCCTTTATCCTGTTTCAGAGCTACACAAGATTACCAAATTCAGCCCAAAAAATTGCCGTCATGAACAATCGGGTCCCCCTTTACAAATGGGTCTGCACTAGGATCCATGGTAAAGTCGATTCAAATTGTGGCAGGTTTGCTATCCGTTCTCTTTTACAGTGCGCTAGCACTACTTTGCAAAAGCGGTTACATTTTTTTATTGTTTCGCATTTTAGTATTGGCATGTTCTTTCCAGATGTTTAATGGAAATAAAGATTTAATAAGCTAGCTGGCTAACAGGATGCTAAGCAATATTTAATTTCAATGTATATCTGTTTATTTACAATTATATGCAATAAACAATTTAAAAGGCATTTATAGTCGTATTAACAGTCTTTACTTCATTTACTCACCCAAATGCCATGTTTTGAAGAATTTTTGCAACCAAACAGTATTGATGCATATTAACTTCTATTGAATGGACAAAAAAACTCAAAATGTCTTCTTTTGTGTTACAGTCATACAGGTTTGGAACGACATTATGGTGAGTAAAAAAAAAAAAAAAGATATTTTTTATTTGGGTGAACTATTCCTTTAAGACTACATATGTAAATATACATGTAAAACAGGGTTCCTCAAACTCGGTCCTGGAGGGCCACTGTCCTGCAGAGTTTAGCTCCAACCCTGATCAAACACACATACCTGTGAGTTTCTAGTGACCCTGAAGACCTTGATTAGCTTGCTCAGGTGTGTTTGATCAGGGTTGGAGCTAAACTCTGCAGGACAGTGGCCCTCCAGGACCGAGTTTGATGAACCCTGATGTAAAATCTGCAGGTTTTCTAATTAGAAGTAATTAGAGTATAAATGAAAAGACCTTTCACCCATTTATTCAGGACGACGGCCCATCTAGTCACAGATGGCACACCTACGGTCCGTTTATCGAATGCATGTTGCAGTCAAAATGATCCAATTAGATTTCCGACCGCTACGCAATGTCTGGAAGTCAGGACACGTTTATAATCAGACCGATCGGCGGTTTATAAGGTACTTTTCATCCCAAAAAATCAAAAATAAAACAGTTTATAAACCAGCTGTGACAATTATTTTTTGATTTTCAGTCCCAATCGGGAAGCACATTATGCTAATTTCAACAGGGTTCTGTCTGAGTGGGCGGTTCTTGGAGAGAATAAGCAGCAAAGTGGACCAGACTTTATGCTGAAAATCAGATAACTGCAGTCTGCATACACAAGACCACTGCTCTGAGCTGTAGCATATTAGTGTTCTTATGCATTTACAGAAGTGGATCGTGTGTTTGGTTAATCAGTGTTGCCTAGTTCACATCTATATAAGGTCTGAATTCACAACAGTGAGGATCTGATACCTTATCACACTGTACAATGTACAGGTGAGTCAAACAAACCTCACATAACGTCTAACAATATGTGCTGTTAGCATTCATGCCAAAGGGTAAATGTCAAACCCATGCGCTCACACATAATACCTAATTGGAATAGAGCTCGGTGCATGACATCATCTCACGCACGGCACGTGTAAAGCACACTGTGTGTGCGTGGTATCATTATAAGACTGGCGAACAGGAGACAGATCCAGACTTCATCCAGGAAACAGAGAAAGGAAGAGAAAGTCCCATGAATAAAATACCATTTCAAAGGACCTTATTCTACAGTTTTGTAGTAGTTAGACCGATATTTTGAATTGGACGATAACTTTCTGGACCCGTTTACACCTGGGGCCGGTTTCACAAAGCTATTTTAGACCGGTCTATAGTGTTAGACAAGTCTAAAATTTGCTCATAGACTAGTCTAATGCAAGTTAGACTGTTTCACAAAAATAAAGACCAAAACAATTAGACACCTTTCCCCCAGGCTAACTAAGGTCTAAGACTCTGTTACCTTGGCAACCAGCAGTAACAATCAGTTACATTACAAACAGCCGAAAGAAAACACAGGCGACGGTCCACCACATATATTCATCACCATTTCAGTGTCTTCAAGTTTCTCTTGGGGTCCTCCTCCCGTTTTTGGATATTTCCTCTTAAATATTTCTTTTTTGGTATCTTGACCATGTTTTTGTATCTTTTCTGTACGTCTTTAACGCTCCGCTCAACGGTCGGATTAATGCTGTTAACTGTCGTAGCAATCTTTGTCCAAATTAATCATCTCTTCTTGTTACTACATTCTCCGCTAAATTTCCCAAGTAAAATGTCCTTGTAACTGTAATACTCCTCCAACAAACACATATTTTCCGCTGGGGTAAACTGCACTGAGCGGTTGAATGCGCTTACTCGATCCGCCACGTTTTCAGTTTTGAAAAGTGTCTTATTTTACCCAGAATGCATTGCAGTGTAGCCCTACTTAAGATAGTCGGAGTCTTAAGTGCTTTGTGCAACGGTCTGATTTAGATGTCTATCTGAAGTCTGACTATCTACTATATCTAAGCCATAGTCAAAGTCTATCTTTGTGAAACCGGCCACTGGTATTAAGATGTGTTTTGGTCCATCGGATCACAAGTAGATAAAGGAGACACATTCCTGTTTACACCTGGTGTTTTAATCCACCTTGTCTGCTTTCAATCACTTCTGTCCTAATTTCTTCAAAGATGAATAAGTAAATTACAGATGTGCATCAGTAATGAACTGGAGTCCTTGTTCTTAACCAACAAGTTTCTTAACCAAGTCTCACTGTTTTCCGACTTAGAACCACTTCAAGGCTTTACCATGGTAATAGCAGATTTTGTGAGCAGAGTTCTGAGAAAGCAGTATTGCTTTGCAGAATGGCAAATGACTCATAGCAAGCCCCTCCTCCCAGTGTATCTGTCCATCAGTGGTATATGTGTGTAACAGGTCGTGTTCTCACCCAGGTCGTTGTTTTTTGTGATTGCAGCAGCGGCGCGGGATCTGGGACCCTGCTGGGTAAACTGGTACCCAAACTTCACGACGCTCGTATTCTGCTCCAGCATCTTGGCGATCTCCATCTCTGCCGACGTGCCGAGCTGCTGCCGCTGAAAGCCAACATCACACACATTCTATTAGATGTGCTTATGTAAGCCCACACTCGCAGACATTTCACGATGACTAATGTTCGCATTCATTTTGCATAGTGGCTGAAAATAGCAAGGTTTTAACACATGTAGTACCCACCCCAGTGCTGAATTCTATACAGATGCAAACTATATTCATCACTAATTAACTGAAATCAGACCCTTTTATGCAGTGGCCGACTAAACACTAAATCCTGTTTTATTTTTGTAACTACAGAAACAGTTCTTCGTAAAATAACTTAGATTGTTGTCAAAACTCAATTCACATCCATTCGGTCGCATACCGTGTATATATATATATATATATAATTTCCCCCCACATATTACTGCCATGAAACATTACAAGCAAGAACTATGAACAAAAACCAAAACAAACAAAAATTATAAGAATTTACTGCTTTATCATTACTAACATTTGATGTACTTTCATTTTATTGAGTTTAGAGAATATACTATTATGATGTGGCCATTTTTGCTGGAAATTCAACCCCAAACCATTGAAAACTAAAATTAACAATGAGCAATACACTCAGGTCCATAAAATTATATTTACAGATACAACTTTTCATTCTAACAATGTAATGAAATAAACATTTAAATGAATAAATGCTTTGGAAGTTTTTTTTTTTTAATGTTAGTTCATATTAACTAATGTAGTTAACTAATGTTAACAAATTAAACCTTTTTGTAAAGTGTTATCATTATTGCAATTTAAAATCACTTTTAAATATATTTTGAAATGTAATTTATGATGGTAAAGCTGAATTTTTAGCAGCCATTAGTGTCACATGATCATTCAGAAATGTTCTTTTATTTAAATTCAGGATTCTTTAGAACAGAAAGTTCAAAAGAACAACATTTATTTGAAATAGAAATATTTTGTAACAATGTAAATGTCTTTACTGTCACTTTTGATCAAGTTAATGCATCCTAGCTGAATAAAAGTATTAATCTTACCCTTCCAGAACAAAAAAAAAAAACAAATCAAAAAAAGTATGCCATAAAGTTGACTAGATGAGCCACATTGAAGATGCAGTAAACTATCCAAAAGATGCAAACCTGGGATCAGTTGATTTCTACAGTATATGAATGTGACAGGTTGCTCTGCACTGGTAGCACCAGTCTGCAGAGTAGAAAATAGTTTGCTGGTTTTAGAAAAGGATGTGGTTGTGTCCGTGTGGTGGTACCTGGTTGTCGATCTTGATCTCTGAGAGCGTGTCATTGTCCCGCAGAGCTTCTACCAGAGCCTGAACTCCTGCACCAGTGATGAAATTAGACTCCAGATTCAAACTCCTTAGCGTCTTATTCTCTCGTAGCATGTCTGAGAAGGCCTGCAGTGAACAGAGAAACACACATAGAAGAGATGCGGTTCTCTTGTAAAGCTATGATCATCTTAGCTTGCAAATTGTCTTCGATCACTTGGTTCATATTCTTGTTGCTCATGCTGGATAGTCTTTATATATTACACATAAAATATGTTTTGATTGAATGCGATCATCACTTCAAGATGAGTTTCTTTAATTACTTGAATTCAAGAATTACTTGAAACACCAGTAACCACAGTTACAAGGATTGACCTTGTAATGTATTATTTAGGAGTTCAATATATTTACTGGTATATTTACTAAACTGGTTATACACAACTTTCAGAGGTTTAACAAATGCTGCCTATATACAATTAATTGTTTGGTGAAGGAAACCACCAGCAATGATGGAAAAACAACATCAGACATGCAGTGATGGACTGTACATGGAAGAGTCAATGCACTGTTTCAAGGTCCATGACTAAAGGCAGCATTTGTCCAATCTCAACCCAGAACACACGAACATCAACATCTCAAGCGAATGAATGATGTCCCTAACCACGGCAACAGGGTCATTGCTCCTGGTGGCAGCCAGACTGAACTTCTTCACATGAGTGTTCCTCTCCATGGCTTTGGCTAACTCCTTTAGAGTCGGGATTGGAATGTTCTGGAACAAAAGAGAAAGGAAACATTAAAACAGGTTTGTTGTTGACAATTAAATGTTGACACCTATATGTCACTAAACTCATCGTCATGGTCTTCATAAAATACAACATACTCTCCATTTTGGGGGGTTGGAGTCAATGTGTGCCATATGTAAATTTATATAACCAAATAACATTCCTTCCATTAGTGAAAGAGATAACCAAACTGATAAGCCATAATTTAATCATTAAAAGGAAAAACGTTGGGCTGGGAGCGGTTAAGAATATTTATTCTAGTTCTGGGTTGTGTGTTTGTTTATTGCATAGTTATTTAATAGAAAATATTTAAACGATTTTAGAAGACTTTAAAGCAGCTAAAACAAATGGGCTTTATATTTAATTAAGTACAACAGAGTCCAAAATTCTGAGACCACTATAAATGCTTGCATAAATTAGATTATCGATTAATTTAAGTGAAAAAGTGTTGTAGTATTCTCAGCATATTTTGAGCATGTCCAGTCCTTTAGTGGAAGCAAGAAAATCAGGTCGTCTGTACAAATGAGTCCCATGACCAATGTTACCAATTTAATGAGTGATCTGGAAATAATGCACATTGCACAAAATTATCAATATTTTATAAATGTATTTTATGCCTTTTTTATTTCCAATCTTAAATTGCTTTTTTTTAAATCCCAGATTGTCAATGTGGCATCAGATGTTTGGACTAAAGTATTTTCCTGGTAATATAAATGCACATTTTATTTAGCCATTAAATTCCATATGGTTTTTGTGTAAGGGGGCCTCATTTTAACATATAGAGTGGTGCAGGTATGACATCACTTAGTAGGCCAAAACGTGGAAGCGAGTTAGCATTTTAGCACTTCCGGTTTCATCGTCCCAAAATCAATTGGTTTTTAAAATGGGTTTTGGTTAAATGGCTGAAATAAGGTCTGTGGTGAACGCAAGCTCAGGACACTTTCACATTTTATTCTACAACATAAAATACATGAGTACTGCCCCACTCGTTATTTTTTTAAGCTGTTAAGTGTCTTGAAAAAGGCGGTTGCTAAATGGGACTACAGAGGCTGTCGAGGAGACTAAACGCTATCAGGACGAACAGGTAAACTCAGGCCGCTTTTACAGCCTCATTATGCTTATAATTGTACTCTTATAAACTATTCTAACTCAAACTTTGTGGGAAAATGTTTTTAGATAAAAACTGAAAGAGTTGTCGGAAGCTTAGTGATGGTGACGTTGAATTCGTGGGACCGTGGTGTAGTTCGTTTATAGCCTACCTTTAGCTTTTTGCTTCTGGCAGCTGCATTTAGGATTCAAAATTCATTAAAGTTGTGTTCATATGTGAAAATTATCTTGATGGACAAAACGTGCAAGTATCATAAACTTTTGTTGATCGCAGTGCTTGTCTTTTTGCGATAATCCAAAAGCCTCCTGCACCACTCTATTCTGTGCACTAAACTGATTCTTATTACCTTTATGTTGTTGAGATTAACTTCGGTCAGTGAGGAATCATTGGACTTTATTCGCTGTAGAGTTTCCTCCACGTTTGTAGGGTTTGGTGGTTCATCGAAAACTGGCTTTACCTTTTCTCCTTTAATAACATCTATGACAGAAACACAAAATCAACAAATGAGCTATCACTAGGTATGTTTGCATGCACTCATTTTCATCAATCCAAACGAATCCAATCTAATTCCAGATTCTGAAAGTTCTGTTTATATGAACATATTTGCATAGGTATTTTTGAATCAGGTTTAAATAGCAATTACACATTTAAAAATAGCAGATTAAAGCATTTACATGTCATTACACTCCAACTGGATGGAAATAACATTTGGATCGTTTGAGGGGTTTACATGAAGGCTTTTTAGTCCAACTGAGCGATCAATCCTATTATAAATAGATTTTTACACAGCCCTTTCACAAACTAGTTTTTATTTAGTTATCGTCTCGTTTTGGTCAGTGAAAAAAATGACAAATTATTCGTCAACGTAATTAACACTGCATGTAAATGCAGCTACTGTCACATATACTTAAAGCATTTAAAACTCATTTCATAATTAATATTCTGAAAGAAATAAGACATTGAAAAGAACATATAATATCTGTAGAAAGATGACATCAACTTATCAACAATACATCAACAATAGAATAAACTCACTGTTATAACCGTCTTTACAGGTGCCGTCATAACTCTGCGTGCTCGTCACCAGTGTGTTCACTCCAAGAATAGCTAGACAACACAACACACTGTTATTATACAATATACACAAACAACAAGTGCTTGAAAGAGCCCGTGATAGGATTACAATATTATAACAGTGTATGAAGTATTGTAATTTGCAATGCATTTAAAAATAAATGCTCTAACACTTATTTCACCACTATTTTCCATGTTTGTATGCATGTTACTGCATGGAACCACTTTCACATTCCTGATTTTCAACACAGCTGACCAAAACATGTTCATCAGCACATGAAGAGAATAAAGCCTATCGGGTTTATAATGAAGCATGCAGTGAGGGTAACCAGACAGAGACAATCTCTCAAAGCAGCGTGCTAAAAGAGGCTGTTGATAGAAAGAGAGAGAGTGTTTGCTGTTGTATTCTGGAGCTGTGATGGATGCATTGTGGGCGTTCATACCCACAGAATCAGAGGAAATTTATTGCAGAGAGTGATAGAAAACCACTAGAACAATAGACACCACAGAGCTATTCATTCATTCATTCGAGCAATAAAACGAATCCTAGTGATATTAGCATTCGCATGTTGATCTCCCATTATCCCTCTGTTTGTGAGTCCATTTACCTGCCAGGTCATGCAGTTCTGTGTCAGTAGCGCTGGACAGTGCCTCTTCCAATTCCGGGTCAAGGGTCGTGACTTCCTCTTTAAGCAACTCGATTGGTTTCTGTTTGGGAATCCATACTTTTCCTGTAGAATAAAAAGACAAAAAGTGATTAGTAAATTGCATGGCTTGTTTCTTGAATTAAATTGAAAAATTGTGACCAAGTTTTTCATGACTTTTAAGCAAAATATTCCATGTAGTCTCTCAATTAATACAATTTTTAAAATGCTATTTAAAGGAGATTTAAGGTGCATTCACGCCATGCTGTAATTGCGAGATTGCAACTTGTAAAAAGCGTTTAAGTCCTCGTAGAACTTTTTTGAGAGCTCCCACTTGTACCACGTGACCACTGCAGATTCATATTGGTGTTAGTGTTGCGAGTAAAATTTCAGGTGTTGTCATCTCATAATTACAACATGGTGTAAATGCAGCATTAGATGTTGAGCATCTCACGTCACAGGACATGTCAAGGTATTATGTTATTTTGAGACATTGCAGGGCTCCAGACTGCGACCAAATGGTCGCATTTTGCGACTAAAATTTGAGAGTGTGCGACTGAATTTTACATCCAGTCGCACATGTGCAACCAGTAAATTTGCCTCACGTTAAATGCATGGTTAAGCGTGGAAGGGGCGCGTCAATGAATCCGGAATGAGTGAGTGTGACAAGAATAGAGAGCGCGCGTGTCTGTGGGAAGGAGACGGAGACTAATATCATAAGCTGCGTCTGAGCAATGAGCGATCTATCGACTCGTTACCAAGCAGCGAATGCAAACAAAATGAAAGTGGAACGAAAATACGCTACTCATTTATGCTTCACGGACCGTTAATTATTCCGGACCAATAATAGACAGAGCAGCGCATAGCCTTTCTTATGTATATCAATGGAGCAGCGCCCCGAACCATTGACAGTAAAATAAAGACCCGAACTTGCCAGTCGCGGGCCGATCTCGCTCACGCGACACTGTTACTAGGAGATCCAGTGAAGAAATCCATTGAATTCGCCTCAGAATTAATAACATCATCGCTACGAGATCCAGTGAGAAACATTCCGATTCGGCGCAGAGTTCTGTTATAAACCATAGATATCAGATCAAGCAGTGCTGACGTGGAAACCAGGAGAAAAACTTATAGAAGGCTTTCAGTCCACAAATCAGCAACATTCACCATGGATTTAGGCTAATGTAGTAAGTAACTCTAACCATAAATATGATGACAGAAATAGTCAAACGCAGCCTACACATCTTTTCTAGCACTTCAAAACTATAATATCATATATAAATGCTTTTTTTTTTTTTTTTTTTTTTTAAATGTGTGTGATGACCAACACATTTTTTGTTCATCCTTCAAAGATTGTCCTAAAACTAAAAATTAAGATGTTGGATAACTCTTATTTAAAAAAACAACAACATTGTAAACAGTAGGATGTTTATTGGCTATGTTCACTCCTTAATATACTTTTTTTTCTCTCCTTTTGTTTTTTAATTAATATTAAGACATTATGAATGATAATAACAAAAGTTAATTTCATCTACACCCTAAATTAAGCTTAGTGATTTATTGTGCTACCAGATTTTTCTTTTTGTAGAACTCAGTGTGAGTTCTCATTTGAGGTGATGCTGCCCTCAAATTTGAGTCTGGAGCCCTGTGAACTTAAAATAAAACTGCATATCGTAATATCTGTACGTTAAGTCTCTTTATTATTAAAGAATTTGTCAGTAACAGTTATTTTGGGGGAAATTTGAATAATTGCAAGCTGATTCAAGGTGTGCCCCTAAATTTTCTGCTTGTGCTCCTAAAATTTTCAGTCAGGGGCAACAGCGCTCCTAGTAAAAAAAGTTAGTCTGGAGCCCTGCATTGTTTCTAACAGTTAGACTCTTTTATGCCTGGTTCAGATTACACGATTTTTTTGTCTGTTACGATAGTCACTGTGTCAGATTACGCGATTTTGACTCCTAAAATCTTGTCGTGGACAAGAAACATGTCCGACTACACGTTGCTTTCCGACCAGTCATCGCGTGCCGTCTCACACGCACACATTCACTCGCACACTTATATGCTCGCTCACTCTTGACGGAACCCGTCATGGAGGACCGAAAAAAAATTAAACATGCTAGTCTTTGTCGTGAAGCATCGCAGACGCGACGTAGGTTGTCGCCCACAATGATATACTATACGAGATGAAACGATCGAATCTTGCGTCCCGACGGACGCCCGTTGTCGTTTACGAATCCCCACGACACCCTACGTCAAACGGATCATGCTAAAATAGTGTAATCTGAACCAGGCATTAAATGTCATTCACATAAATACATTAAGATTTAACTTATTTCAAAAAGTTTCGGTTCGGTGAGATGTTAAATGTTTGTGAAATAAGTCTTATGTTCAACAATGCTGCAAAAGTACAGTAAAAACAGTATTACTGTGTAAAATATTATTAATTTTAGATAACCGTTTTCTATTTTAATATACTTTGAAATATAATTTATTCCAGTGACGGCAAAGCAAAATTTTCCACTTAAACATTTGTTTAAGTTTAATCAATACTAGAACTCAGCCTCTTTCCTCTTCCTACCATAAAAGAAAATGATTTCTTTGCAGCTCAGCCAAATGAGAAAAACATGAAAAAAAAAAAAAAAAGTGAACAACCCTTTACTTCACTGAATATTGCCAAAAGACTACATCGCTACCGCAGAAGACCACAGCAGAGAGAGAGGGTTAGTGGTCAGACATGATGTCCAGCTATATAAATGGCTGATATTTATGAACTCGACAGATATTGACGGCGTACAGCAGGCCTATCATGATAACTCCCGCTTGACCTCAACCCAACTCCAGTCAGACTATCTGACTCTCTTTGTCACTGATAATGAGTTTGGGTAATATGATGCTGGTCTTGTGACAAGCTCATTCTTTCTGGACAGTGAAAAATACACTCTACGGCTTTATTCAGGACATGTGACTGCTGAGAGGGAGAGAGGATGTTCTGCTAAGCTGAAAGCATTCAGCTAGTGTTTCAATAAAACCCCACATATGAATTAAACTTTTCACATAGTAGAATATAAAGACTACAGGAAATTCATTCTTCAATGTCCATCAAAATTGGTTCCACTCCTCAGCCCATTAGAAGCAAATATGGAATATTCCAACTCATGCTGATTCTGAGACACATTTAAAGGAACAGTTTCCCCCCAAAAAGTTAACAATCGGTCATCATTAGTCGCTTGAACCAAGTTCAAGGTGCTTCTATGGTACTTTTTAGTGGCCCTGGTCACTATCTCCTTACATTGTATGTAAAAGAGCAGCGTTAACATTTCTGAAACATCTCTTTTCATGCCCCATGAAAAAAATAATGCAAAATTGTCGGGACCTACAGAGAGCTACAAGTTTTTTTTTCTTCTTTCTTTCCTTTAATGCCATTCCAGCTTCTACAGCTATGTTCATGACGAGAGCCAGGTATAGTTATTCAAAAATAAAACCTTTAGGATTTATTTTTTTCTAAAATCTTTAAAACTAAGTCTGGATTATACTCAAAAGTATCCTACAAGGTTGTTAATCGATGTTATGCTATTGTTGAAGCTGACAGTACGTGTTATATCAAATTTTTTTTTTTAATAGAGGTCTTCCTGGTAAGAAAAAATCTACATTACCCATTATATTATGCTGAGAAATCTCCAATAATCAGAGAACCGCAACAAGTAAGTAGAGCCAAAAGAGCACTTTAGCACACACTCAATCCCATGAAGAACTGTGAATGATGTAAAGTCCTATGCTCTCAAACTACATAATGATGCGAAATATGCATGCAAATATTTAAGTACACTGACATGTACCTTTGTCTTTTTGTCCAATTTTCAAAAACTTTTCTGCTTCAAATCAAAGTTTGTAATGTTGTGGTTTACAACAACTGAATTAAGACCCCTATGGGGAAAACAAATGAGAAAAAAAAACTTTCTGAACCAAGGCCGCTGAAAAAGTGAAAAGGCATTGACAGAATCTTTCCAACTGTCATAAAAGCAGCTGGCAGCTCAGAAACCTCTCATTACACACAAGACGTGAATCAACCTCAGCTCTGGTCTGGCCATACACTAGAACTATCAACTCTGTCCACATACGTAGTTTCTTTCCCCTTCATAAAGGACGGCAACAGTACGTCACTCAGGCCTGTGAGGTTTGGAAACACACACCATGCAGTTCAAAGATACTTGTTTTCTTATTCTCCTGTTTTATTCCGCATAGCCAGGCTGTGCGTTACAGCGATTTTACCACTTTTGAGGGGTGCCGTTAGGCACAGCATGGATTATTGTTTAGTTTTCCCCTGGTTCTCTAGAGTTCCTAACAGGAACAGGCTGAGGGTCCAAAGACCTTTCTCACTGCTCTGGACACAAGAACAGGCTTTGTGTTTGAGGTGTGGCTGAATTCCAAACACATGTTATCAGTGCAAAATATTCATGTGAACCAGCCAGGAAATAAAACAAAAGAATACTGATTGAGAATAACTATTTGCAGAGTCACTGCTGGGGAAATTATAGACTGCTGTGTTCTAAAAGAGTATTATAGAGTATATTATATTTGCTATTAACAGATGATTTCGTGTGTGTTTAGAGGATTTCTACCATACACACAGTCAACTACAATAACATGTTTGATAATATTCAGTTATTTCCAATGACAGATATATAATGTTTTTTTTAAATTGTATATGTCCCACACACACACACAAAGTTAATGACTTCAAGGCTCTGTGATTTAAATGAACAACACGAGTTAAAACAGTACGGGTGGAACAGGGGGGAAAAGTGAAAACAGCAGGACAAAATTAGGCAGGACAGGTTAGATCACTCCTCAACTATTTTAACAAGAACAAATTAAAACATGCTTCATGCTTGAAATTAGCAAATTCTCTTCTGCTGTAGTAATGGAGACTGTTCTCCTGTATTGTTATGATCTCTTCATGTCAATGCTGTAAAGCAGGATTTGGTTATTCAATGTGACACAGGCACAGTATAACATTAGCAGCACAGCTTCTCTTCTCTAGTAACCTACTTACTCATTCCCAGGTCACCTTTATCTGGGCTCCTCTCTTT